ATAAGATAAGTTGTTAAAGAAATAATATTTAGTTATTCATATAACCAAAGTGATAATAAAAGATTTTAAAGGCAGATACAGAAGGTCACATAGTTGTTAGCAGAACTTAGCTTTTTTATTATTAATACTTTTGTCTTTTCCAGTATGGAAACATATTACTGAGACATTAAGCACAAGAATAAGCTGTTGTAAACTGTTACACTAGAGTTCTTCAGCCCTGTCTTACAACTTCAGTTAGGATTTACTGAGGGAGCAGCAGTCTTTCTAATGGGAAACTTAGTATCAGACAAGTGAAGGCTGCTAGGAGACTTACAAGACTCTTTAATTAACTCTTGCTCAGCTAAGTTTAGTTTGTAAGCAGACATTGGAGCAGAAGTAAAGAAGGGAGAGGAGCAAGGAGAGATTTGTATCAAGTTTGCAAGCTTGGCAGAATTCTTTCTGGCTTCTGAGATAGAAGCAAGCCTGAAAGTAAGGGACCTCTGCTCAATTGCCCACCCACTTACAGTTTGAGAGTCTCAGGGTTGAATTGGGATCAGTGGCAGAGAATGCAGCCTGACAGTGTGGCTCACCTAGGAAGAAAGGAAATTTAACTCTTCCTGTCTCGGACATCTCTGAGAGCAGGACAGGACTATACTGAGGAATAGGTTAGAGAGCCCAGCGTCCCAGGGTCTATTCCAGAGGTCTTGGCACAGCCAGCTGCCCAGGACCTAACGTATCCCGCCTCAGACGTCTCTGAGTGGGATATGGAGTACTAGAGTCTCATGGCTTCCTAGTGAAGGTTTAAAGGGGGCTTACCACAGGTGGTCCCATGAGACTTGACAAAGGCTGACAGCGAGGTCTTATGGGAGCCTGAAAGAGGCCCAACCAAGCTAGGCAAATAGCTAGAAAGCTGACTTGTAATAAGCAGGCTAAGGGAAAGGCCAATGAGAGAACAGTGAAGGAGGTGCAAGTGCAGAGGAAATGGGAGGATTCTAGAGTAGAGATTTTTAAGGAAACTTTTGTCTTTATACTTACTGAGTCTTAATTGGTTAAGGTTTTTTAGTAGTAATTACAGGTGCCAGGATAAGGGTGCAAGAAGGGAAGAGCGGCAGCTCTTAACAGCTTTTAGGGTTAGCAAAGGGCATAAAGAAGTGTTCTGGCCAGACCAGCCTCCTGGAGATTTGAGAGCCTTCTCAGGGGACCATAGGGAGGACAAGGTCCCTGGGGAGGCTACTAAGCTAGTTAGGAAAGATCATCTCATGGTTGCTTGAGTTGAAGCAGGCATCTGTGAAGGAAAAAAAACCTGCTTTGCTGAGGAAGAGGTTTTGGCCCTAGGCTATGGTGCTCCTGCAGGCTGCAGGCTAGGCCCGAGAGGTAAGTCCTAAAAGGGGGGTCAGAGTTAAGTCAGACCTGCAGATCCCTTCAGAGTAAAAGTCTGTTTCCCTCTAAATGGAAAATAGGACAGACATGATGATAGAAAGAATTTAGTACAAAAGGGACAAATGGTCATAGAATAGAGGCAAGTGAGAAGTCTCTTAGCTCCTGCAGGGAGCCGTTGGAGAAGAAGAGAGTAAAGGGAGAAATCTCCTGGTTGCTCTGGGTGACGTTCCCTAGGACCCCGTGACTTGCCTCCTCGGGAGTGGTTCCCTGCAAGGCAAGCACAAGTGGGTGCTTCCTCCAGCTGGGTTTGGTGGACATCTCATGGCCAAGGAGATTATGAAATATGGGGGTCCTTGAGGTTTGCCCCAATTAGCTGACCAGCAGATAATGTAAAAAGCTTGGAGAAGGAAAGAAGAGAAATGCAGCGAGTAGGAAAGAAATCTGAGAACACAGAAAAGAAAGCCTCTGCGTGAACATATTAAACCTTGCATGGGGACTTGCTGCGGCATTGGACGTGGGTGGTTTAACAGTGTGCCTCCGTTGCGTGGACATTGTCTTGCGGTTGTTGGAGTGCCTAATGCAATCTTCCCTGGTCCACGACCAACTTACCTGTCACGGAAGTCTTTTGGCGAGTGCCCCCTGGCCTTTACTGCTCAACATGTGCCCCGAGTGCTGCTGTTTTTGGTCCAGGAGAGACAGAGGAAGGGAAGGATTCTCAGAGAAGAGGTAGATAGTGAGTGAGTGAGTGAGTGAGTGAGTGAGTGAGTGAGTGAGTGAGTGAGTGCCTCCAGCTAGGGGGCGAGGCACATCTGGCTTAGGGGGGTTGGAAATCCATTCGAGTTGCGCAGTACCAAATCTGTTTTTGGGAGAGGTCCGTTCGGCTTAATGGGGATGGAAATCCATCCGAGGCAAGGCACCAAATATGTTGGGGGGGAGACATTGTGTATTTTCCTCAGTTCTTGTCCCCGCCGTGACAAAGAATTGAAAGGGCAGAGACACAGTAGTGAAGCAGAGTAAAAGTTTTATTTAAAGTTACTTAGAAAGAAGTGCAGCCGACCTCAGAGAGAGAGAGGAGCTCCCTAAAAGGTTGGAGAGAAAGAGTTTAGGATTAAAAGGTTACACACTTAGAAAGTGCAGGTGACCTCAGAGAGAGGAGTGCCTAATTTTCCTTGTTCTTGAATATCATATATATTGTTTTGTTTTTGTTAATCTGGCTTTTTTTGTTTGACTTATGTTTTTGAGATAAATCCACAAGAATGCTATATCAATAGTTCATCCCTGTTTATTTCTGAGTAGAGTTCCAAGTACAATTTACTGATCCCTTCTTCTGTTGATGCACATTTGAGTGTTTTTATTTTGGAGGTGTTAATCTTGAGGCTGGTATGAATATTCTCTGAATCTTTCTGAATATATTTTCATTAATCATGGTATAAATACTTAAGAGTAGGATTGCTGGCTCATGTTTAAAGAAACTGCCAAACAGTTCTCCAAAGTGGTTTTATAACTTCACACTCCCACCGGAAGTATTATGAGTGTTCCAGTTGATCCGCATCTTTACTAGCATTTGTTTTTTCAGTCATTTTAAATGTTGCCATTCTGGTGAATATGAAGTGATATCTAATTACGGTTTTTAATTTGTATTCCCTAAAGATTAATGATGTTGAGCCCCCCTTACTATGTTCTTGTATTGTTATAAAGCAAATATTCAACCATACTTGTGTTTTTGATTGGGCTATTTATCTTTTTTATGGTTGCTTTTCAAGAGTGTATTTTATATTTGGGTTATAAGTTGTTTGTCAGATGCATGTATTTTTTTCCTAGTCTGAGGCTTGCCTTTAATTTTTTTGGGAGAGGTCCGTTCGGCTTAACGGGGTTGTGTCTTTGATGAGAAGAAACTTTTTAATGTATTAGGTTTTTTTTTTCTCTTTTTGTGTCTATTTCAGAAAATGTCTTCCCTATGGACACAAAGATGTTCTTCCTGTATTTTCTTATAGGAGTTTTATGGTTCTGGATTTTATATACAGGTCTTTGTTCCATTTTCATTTTTTGAGATGGAATTTTGAATGAATTTTTTTTTACTTATATGAATGTCCAATTGTTTTAGCACCACTTGTTAAAAATCCCTGATATGTATCTAACTCTTTGTCTTTCATAATTATGGGCTTTTTAAGCATTAGCTATAATTAATGACTCTGTCACTGCTGCAGTTAAGCTTTTTTTATTGGGACAAGGGCATCAGATAGGACAAGTAAAACCAGGATTACTGGTGATGGCTAGAACCAGGCTCTAGAGAAGAGGAGACGTCTTTTCTGTTTTAAGGTAACTTTATCTGACCTGGTCACCTTGATAGTCCTGGTCACTCTGTGGTATATTTTGTCATTGAGTTGAAGCCATGATTCACTTCTTGGGACTACACCATGAATTACCAGGCAGGCCATCCTGTCTATAGATGGATCAATTACTGGGTTAGAGAAAGGATTATCCACTGAGATAGTAGTACCCTAAGGGCACACTGGCTTTAATACATAGCCACACCAGACTTTGTATAAAGTAAGTTACTGGCATCTTAGTCATGTCCTCTGAGGCAAAGTTCTATGATCTTTTTCATTCTGTGCAGAATAGGTAGATTTTTATTCATGTAGTGTGATTTTTTTTGTGGTGTGTGTGTGTGTGCTATTATGTGTGTTTCAAAAACTTGTAAAATTAATGAGGTTGGAAATGATACTTTCTGCATTGTTCTCTGACTATAGTTTTGGGAATTTTCTGATTGTTTTTGCTCCACAGCATTTGGATAAGTATTAAACAATGAATTGTAAGTTGGTTATCTAAATAATATAGATGCTATTTTTCTTTAAATTAACCAGATCTGTTTTGTGGGTTTGTCTACTAGTTTTTTTCTTCCATTCAACTGGATGGCTAATATTTGCCCCTTCATTTTATTTGGCGTTGTAAGATTCTGGTCTACATTGAACATGAGGAAAGTTGTCTTCATATTCATTAATACATGTAGTGGACATTTGGAAATTCACAGCAAGAATTTTGTAGCAAGGATCACATCCATTATGTTGACTTCTGTTTTGTTTTACAGTCAATGAAGAATATTTTTCTTATGGGAAAAGGCTTTTTCTTGGAACTAACTCATACAGGCATTAGTAATAGAAAAATAAAATGTGTAAGAAATTGCTCTTGATTTCGTAAATATTTTGTTGCTTTAATTTATATTTACTTAAATTAGAAAGACATTCCATGAGTCAGCTTTTTAATATTTAGAATTATCGAGTAAAGTCTTTAAAATCTAATGGCTATAAATAACAGTCTTAAGAAGATAGATTTTGAATACAGGGTGTTGTGGAATAGAACTCAAATGGTGGGTCTCTGGGTACATAGTTCTTCTCGTTATCTCCCACTTCAGTCACAGAAGCAAGCATTCTGTATCTGTTTTAGATATTGGGAGTCTTTGGGTAAGCTTCCCCTTCCCCCACTTTTTTTTTTTTTAAAGGAGTGTGTGGTGGTCATGAGTCTTTTGCTGGAATTTTTTTGATTCTGTATCTATGGCACTAGACAGTTCAGCTTTTGGCATATATTGTAAAGGTTTTATTTTCTTTTCCTTGTAAATCATCTTGCATTTTACTTATTTGTAGTGTTACGAAGCTGGTCACTTGGAAAATAACGTTACTGAATCATGTTCTGCATCTCATTGTAAAGAGTTTGGTGGAGGTGAGTATTTTTAAAAAATACAGTGCAAAAATAACTAAAGCGTCTTGTCAGTTAATTAGAAAAGTTATTACGTATTTAAGCAAGACTAGTGAGGTTTTGAGTTCCAAAACTTATTTCTCTAAAAATGCTTCCTGAAACTATGCATGACACTAGAAAATTGTATTTTCATTTTCAGCCTTCTGTTGAAATTAGTTAAATGGAATTAGAATTACATTAGAGTAAGAATATGTTAGAACCAATAGAAAAAAATGAGCTGCTTAATTTTTCATAACAGATAATTCTTCAGACTGTGTCGTTACTTTCTTGGCTTTTATTCCATTTTTATTTCTATAGGACAGCAAATATGGAACCTGAGTTGAGAGGGAAATTACAGATCATTTAAGCAAATCTTTCAGAAACGGTCTTAGTTTATTTTAACACATCTGTGACCATGTGCTTGAAAAAAAGAGCTTACATTTGAGCCTAGTTAGTTCGTTTATTCGTTCATTCGTTCGTTCGTTCCTTCCTTTCTTCCTTCTTCCTTCCTTCCTTCCTTCCCTCCCTTATTTTTATTTTTATTTTTTTATTTTGGTATCATTAATCTACAATTACACGAGGAACATTATGTTTACTAGACTCCCCCCATCACCAAGTCCCCCCCACATAACCCATTACAGTCACTGTCTATCAGCATAGTAAGATGCAACAGAATCACTACTTGTCTTCTCTGTGTTGTACAATCCTCACTGTGCCCCCACCCCTACATTATGTCTGCTAATAGTAATGCCCCCCTCCTTTTCCCACCCATCCTCCCCAGTCCCTTTCCCTTTGGTAACTGTTAGTCCATTCATGGGTTCTGATTCTACTGCTGTTTTGTTCCTTCAGTTTTTTTCTTTGTTCTTATACTCCACAGATGAGTGAGATCATTTGGTACTTCTTTTTCCACCTGGCTTATTTCACTAAGCATAATACCCTCTAGCTCCATCCATGTTGTTTCAAATGGTAGAATTTCCTTTATTCTTATGACTGAATAATATTCCATTGTGTATATGTACCACATCTTCTTTATCCATTCATCTACTGACGGACACTTAGGTTGCTTCCATTTCTTGGCTATTGTAAATAGTGCTGCGATAAACATAGGGGTGCATATGTCTTTTTCAAACTGGGCTGCTGTATTCTTAGGGTAAATTCCTAGAAGTGGAATTCCTGGGTCAAATGGTATTTCTATTTTGAGTTTTTTGAGGAACCTCCATACTTCTTTCCACAATGGTTGAACTAATTTACATTGCCACCGGCAGTGTAGAAGGGTTCCCCTTTCTCCACAACCTCGCCAACATTTGTTGTTGTTTGTCTTTTGGATGGTGGCAATCCTTATTGAGCCTAATTCTTAAGAGCTTTGGAATCTTCTAGATTAAATTAGAATCTGACTTCTGGAGCGTCTACTTGTTGATCTTGGGTCTGCCCAGAGAAGGAATGAGCAACCCTTTTTAGTAACAGGTATAATGACAATAGTTTGAGTATTTAACTCTAATAAGTCTTTGTGCAGGTCCTTTGCTTAGGACTGTTACTTCTAATCCATCTAAAGCATTACAAAGAATTTTAGAGTTTCATATTATTCCTGTTTTAGATAAGAAACATGAAGGTGAAAGAGGTGGCAGGGTAAGGAAGCTAAAACCAGACCTCACCAGATTCATGGCCACACTACTGTCTTTGTTTTCCACTTTACATTTTCTCCATGCCGATTCTTTCTACTACTTTGGTCATTTGTCTGTGAAGGCCATTCATTGATTAATGTCATTCCTGAAATAATAGCCCAGACTTGAGCACAATGTGCATCAGATATGATCTGCCAGCGAATGAACACTTCTTTAAATTTGACCTGTGATTAAGTTTTCTGACAAGTAAATATAGTAATATGTTAGCTTCAGATAACCTATGGCAATTATAATCCCATAGGTTCATCAATTTTGCTTGCTTTTGGAATAAAAACTGCTTTCAAAATAATACCATCTCTTTTCCTATACTTTTGTACTTCAGTTTTTATAACACAGCCTGAACTCTACCCTTTGTAAATTTCATCTAAAGTTTAAGCTCTTGAGAATTTTGAACCTTTATTCTGTCGTCATATTAACTCTTCCTTTCCTCTTAGATGGCCAACCCCTTTGTTAGCAGAGTTCTCCATCAGTATCAGGCAGTCCAAGAAGAGAGCACTGTAAAGCTGTTTCCCACGTCCAGTCTTCATTTTGATACCTAGCCTAATAATCCTGGGACATTTTAGGAAATACCATTTTGGATTTCCTCTTGATGTTTCTGTAACAAAGAGTTGAAATACATAAAATATAGAAAATGACGAGGCTGGAATTTGAATTTCTAAATATGCCAGGTTTTAGACCATCCACTAATTATATTGAATGTTCAAGGTTATAGTATCAATGTAGGAATATCTGTTAAGCCACTAAAAATATTGAGAGAGGTCTTTTCCCCTCCTCCTGTAAGCCAATACTTAACACATTTCAACTTTTTGGTTTACCTTAATCCTTAAATCATATAGTGATATAATTTACTGTCTTCAATCTTGGAGGCCAAGTTTTTATATCTTTTCCTCACTACTAACTGCATTTCCTCCCCATGTATAGGATACTGAAGTCCTTTGAGGAACTAGAAAATCTTGTCATTTCAATTATGTAAAATGAAATTGCTTTAATAATAACCTTCCCACACATTACTATTTGATCTGTCAGAGGCAGAATATATATATATGTAGCAATTTCCTCAACTAGTTACAGTGTCATGGGTAAGTCTCTCTTCTTCACTGCTTCTGTTCTCCTCATCTACAGAGTTGGAGAATTAAATGGGTTTTCAGGTTGGTTTTTATTCTAACATTCCATAATTCTTTGAGGACCTTTAGTTGAGAATAGGAGTTCTTGGAACATGTGCATGATTAGCCAGCAGGTAACACCTGTTTTCCTGTCATAGGCACTACCAAGATATTTGATAAACCAAGGAAGCGAAAACGACAGAGACATGCTACAGCCAAGGTGCATTGTAAAAAACTGAAAAATGACGACTCATCAAAAGAAACTCCAAGCTCAGAGGTATTACTCAGTTCTTCATCTTCTGGCCTTCCAAAAGCAAAGCTCCGTTTCACAGTAGAAGCCATATCCCTCTTTCCCTTGAGTTTACTTAAGGATAGTATTTTACCGAAAGAGCTAAAAGCCTTAAGGAATCCTGGAGGAAAAGGAGAGCCTGATCCTAGTAAAAATAAGGCAAGGCACATATGGCAGTTGTGGCTATGACCTTTTCAAAAGGTCACATCCTATGCTCTAGGTACCAGATGAGTTACATAACTGTTTCATCATGAAGTAAACTTTTTCTAATACCAGAGGGGACAATATCAAGTAACCATATGATCTGAATGATCTTGGATATTGCCCTTTAAAAGTTGAGACTGCTGTGATTAAGGGGAAACTCATTTGCATAATTTTTTGAGACTGTCAGCTGCTCAATTTTAGAATAATGTCTATAAACATCAGCTTTAAGGAAACAAAGATGGATTTAAAACCATTTCCTGACAGAGCATCAGTGCATACATTGATGCTCTCTCTGGCTTTCCAACTCAGGTTAAAAGAGAATTAGAACAAGTCAGGTCAGCATCACACATTGTGATACAGAGTGTTTCTTTCCAGGACAGTTTGAATAGAATGCCCAATGGGGGCATTATTTAGGAAACACTGATCTTGGAAGGACAAATAAGTAATCAAATAAACTTAAGAATGTTTTCTCTCCCTTAGTGAAACCTTAAAATGGAACAGCTCAAAAAGTTCCAGTGGAACAGCCTCAGAGCAGTTAGTGGCAGGGATGAGGCGCCCACTACCCGTCCAATCACAGCAGGGTTAGAACTAACATTGCATGCAGTCCGCCCACGTGATTGGCTGAACATCTGTAAGTGCTTAATGGCTAGACAAATAGCAGCCCAGAGGGAGGGGGTCAATAATACAAATGTGGAACATTATTTTTTCTCTGCAAGGGAGAACTGATGACACATGGGACGGCTGCAAGCCCCAAGGAAACTGTTGAGGAGGGTGTAGAAAACGACCATGGGATTCCTGCATCTAAAAAACTGCAGGGTGAACGAGGTGGAGGAGCTGCACTCAAGGAGAATGTTTGTCAGGTAGAAAGTTTTGCCCACTTGCATTTTGATTGCATTCTTATGTTTTGTGAGAAGCCCTCTCCATCTCTTGATGTCCCAATCATGGTTAGAATAAAAATTCTCTTGGATGATCCCAGGGGAGTCACTTCCCTTTAAGGATTTAACTCTTCACCCTCCCCACAAAAAGAGAAAGAAAGAGAAATATTTAGTATCAGTGAACCACTTACCCTTATTGCCCAGGAGTAAATGCCCTGAAGCAGATCTGAGTTGGGGGAAGTGAGTCTGTGGTTGTGCAGTCAAGGATCATTTTCCTGTACATCTCATGGTTTGAGAATCTTCAGGTTTCAAAAAAATTTTAAAGGGTAACTTTTACTTTGAGATTTAATTTTGCTTAAAATTAGTGACTTTAGAGAAACCTGTCACTTACATTTTTCTATTTAATAAACATTATACAGTATTTACTGTGTGTCAAGTATTGTTCCAACTGCTTTATAAATTTTACATCATTTAGTCATAACAATCTCATAGATTACCATTATTACCCTCATTTTATAGATGAGGAAACAGAGGCACAGAGATGTTAAATAGCTTGCTTATAGCACACAGTGAAGCCAGGATTCAATCTCAGTTAGTCTGGGTTTAGAGTCTTAACCACTTAATTGTGTTGCCTCCTTGTGAGATGTGACTCCACTTTATTGTTAGAGACTTTATTCTTATTTGACTTGGAAGTGGAGTCAATTAAAAGGATGTTTTGGTTATGTTCTCTTTATATAGTCTTGATTTACCTTTTGTAAATTCTTATAAACTGGCATATAAAAAATTCAAGATACTTTTTTTTTTTTTTTACTTTTTTCTAATTGAAACAGCTAAAAAATAAAATTAACCCAGTCCCAGAATATTGTATTATGGCCAGTATACTTTAAATTCAATTTCTTTATCTATTAATTTTTATTATTGCATAAAGAAAGTTGATTGAGACCACTTCCCACAGTGTTAGTCCTCAGAGACTGTTATGCCCACAAAGGTTATCCACAAAGTATGAGTAAAAGTATGGTGACCTTGTGGTCCTGGCTTGTTTGGATCAGTTTTTGTTTAAATCTTTTGTTCCTATATAATTTATTAATAATATCTATTACTTTCATTCTCAAGTGTCCCAGTTTGACAGATGAATTACGTGGTCATCCCACTTAAAGGGTCAGTCCATAAACATTTGGTTAATTTGAAAAAAGTTATTCTTTGATACATAATGTAATTGAAATTTTTATGTTTTAATAATAAAAGTGAACTTGCTTATTATACATTATAAAGCTGATGTCACTGACATTTTGAATATACAAACAAAATATATTATGGCACTTGTCAATTTTTCTATGTGAATGGTGGATAATGGGAGAGCCAAACATCTGAATATAGCTCAGAGTACAGGTTGATTAAGACTTTGGGGTCCCCACAATCCCCTGACTGCATCTGGCTTTCTCTCCCCCTCCCCCTTAGTTCATATATTTAAGCTTTGGTGTTCAGTGCCATGACCTGTTCTCTTTCCGTGAGGTTCTGAAGATACCAGATTTGTCTAGGCACCTTAAGCCTTTCTTGTTTTACAGAATAAATAAAAGACTTTCTTTCATTTTTAGCAGTTTTCTTCTAATTACTGTGGGAAAACAAGTCCGGATATTAGAGGGGTGAAAAGTATCAAAGGTTGGCAATTTGCAGACTTTTCGTAAATTTACAGTGTTTTCAAAGCAGCAGATCCAGATCTTTATTTTATTTCTTAAGGCCCTATTTTAATTGACACCCTGTCTGAGATGAGATCTCACAAAGGTAATCTGAGTTGGTTCTAGTCTTAAGTGTGTTCAACCTTAATCAAAGCCCTTTTGAGATTGTTGTGACCTAAGTCCAGCCAGCCAGTATCTCTTGTATGAACCATTGCAGTAGTCTCTTAATGGTCTCTGCTTCTATTCTCACATTTCTTACTTTTGAACTAGTTTTCCATGTAGCAGTGAGGGATGGTTTTTAAATGAGTACCTGATTTCAGCCTTCCTTTATTAAAGCTCTCTAATGATAATGGCATACTTTTTTTTGTTATCATTAATCTACAATTACATGAAGAACATTATGTTTACTAGGGTCCCCCCTTCACCAAGTCCCCCCCACAAACCCCACTACAGTCACTGTCCATCAGCATAGTAAGATGTTGTAGAATCACTACTTGTCTTCTGTGTTGCACAACCCTCCCCATGCCCCTCCCCCCCATTATACATGCTAATTGAAATACCCCCTTTCTTTTTCCCTGCCCTTATCCCTCCCTTCCCACCCATCCTCCCCAGTCCCTTTCCCTTTGGTAACTGTTAGTCCATTCTTGGTTCTGTGATTCTGCTGCTGCTTTGTTCCTTCAGTTTTTCTTTGTTCTTATACTCCACATAAGAGTGAAATCATTTGGTATTTGTCTTTCTCCGCTTGGCTTATTTCACTGAGCATAAATCCCCTCTAGCTCCATCCATGTTGTTGCAAATGGTAGGATTTCTTTTCTTCTTATGCCTGAATAATATACCATTGTATATATGTACCATATCTTCTTTATCCATTCATCTACTGATGGACACTTAGGTTGCTTCCATTTCTTGGCTATTGTAAATAGTGCAGTGATAAACATAGGAGTGCATCTGTCTTTTTCAAACTGAGCTGCTGCATTCTTAGGGTAAATTCCTAAAACTGGAATTCCTGAGTAAAATGGTATCTCTATTTTGAGTGTTTTGAGGAATCTCCATACTGCTTTCCACAATGGTTGAACTAATTTACATTGCTACCAGCAGTGTAGGAGGGTTCCCTTTTCTCCACAACCTCGCCAACATTTGTTGTTGTTTGTATTTTAGATGGTAGCCATCCTTACTGGTGTGAGGTGATATCTCATTGTGGTTTTAATTTGCATTTCTCTGATAACTAGTGATGTAGAGCATCTTTTCATGTGTCTGTTGGCCATCTGAATTTCTTTTTTGGAGAACTGTCTGTTCAGCTCCTCTGCCCATTTTTTAATTGGGTTATTTGCTTTTTGTTTGTTGAGGTGCGTGAGCTCTTTATATATTTTGGATGTCAAGCCTTTATCAGATCTGTGATTTATGAATATATTCTCCCATACTGTAGGGTACTTTTTTGTCCCATTGATGGTGTCTTTTGCTATACAGAAGATTTTCAGCTTGATGTAGTCCCACTTGTTCATTTTTGCTTTTGTTTCCCTTGCTGGGGAAATATATTCATGAAAAAGTCGCTCATGTTTATGTCCAAGAGATTTTTGCCTATGTTTTTTTCTAGGAGTTTTATGGTTTCATGACTTACAATCAGGTCTTTGATCCATTTCGAATTTACTTTGTATATGGTGTTAGACAGTGATCCAGTTTCATTCTCTTACATGTAGGTGTCCAGTTTTGCCAGCACCATCTGTTGAAGAGACTGTCATTTACCCATTGTATGTCCATGACTCCTTTATCGTATATTAATTGGCCATATATGTTTGGGTTAATGTCTGGAGTCTCTATTCTGTTCCACTGGTCTGTGGCTCTGTTCTTGTGCCAGTACCAAATTGTCTTGATTACTGTGGCTTTGTAGTAGAGCTTGAAGTTGGGGAGCGAGATCCCTCCCACTTTATTCTTCCTTCTCAGGATTGCTTTGGCTATTCGGGGTCTTTGGTGATTCCATACGAATTTTTGAATTACTTGTTCCAGTTCATTGAAGAACGCTGTTGGTAATTTGATAGGGATTGCATCAAATCTGTATATTGCTTTGGGCAGGGTGGCCATTTTGATGATATTAATTCTTCCTAGCCAAGAGCATGGGATGAGCTTCCATTTGTTAGTGTCCTCTTTAATTTCTCTTAAGAGTGTCTTATAGTTTTCAGGGTATAGGTCTTTCACTTCGTTGGTTAGGTGTATTCCTAGGTATTTTATTCTTTTTGATGCTATTGTGAATGGAATTTTTTTCCTGATTTCTCTTTCTATTAGTTCATTGTTAGTGTATAGGAAAGCCACAAATTTCTGTGTGTTAATTTTGTATCCTGCTCTGTATTCTGATATCAGCTCTAGTAGTTTTGGAGTGGAGTCTTTAGGGTTTTTTATGTGCAATATAATGTCATCTGCAAATAGTGACCATTTAAGTTCTTCTTTATCAATTTGGATTGGTTATATTTCTTTGTTTTGTCTAATTGCCATGGCTAGGACCTCCAGTACTATATTAAATAACAGTGGGGATAGTGGGCATCCCTGTTTTGTTCCCGATCTCAGAGGAAAGGCTTTCAGCTTCTCGCTGTTCAGTATGATGTGTTAGCTGTGGGTTTATCAAATATGGCCTGTATTATGTTGAGGTTCTTGCCCTCTATACCCATTTTGCTGAGAGTTTTTATCATGAATGAATGTTGAATTTTGTCAAATACCATTTCAGCATCTATGGACATGATCATGTGGTTTTTGTCCTTTTGGTTTATGTGGTGGATGATGTTGATGGATTTTCGAATGTTATATACCATCCTTGCATCTCTGGGATGAATCCCACTTGGTCATGGTGTATGATCCTTTTGATACACTTTTTGAATTCGGTTTGCTAATATTTTGTTGAGTATTTTTGCATCTATGTTCATCAGGGATATTGGTCTGTAGTTTTCTTTTTTGGTGGGGTCTTAGCCTGGTTTTGGTATTAGGGTGATGTTGGCTTCATAGAATGAGTTTGGGAGTATTCCCTCGTCTTCTATTTTTGGAAAACTTTAAGGAAATGGGTATTATGTCTTCTCTGTATGTCTGATAAAATTCTGAGTTAAGTCCATCTGGCCTGGGTTTTTTTTTCTCTTGGGTAGTTTTTTGATTACCACTTCAATTTCTTTGCTCGTAATTGGTTTGTTTAAATTTTGTGTTTCTTCCTTGGTCCATCTTGGAAGGTTGTATTTTTCTAGGAAGTTGTCCATTTCTCCTAGTTTTTCCAGCTTGTTAGCATATATAGGTTTTCATAGTATTCTCTAATAATTCTTTGTATTTCTGTGTGGTCTGTCATGATTTTTCCTTTCTCGTTTCTGATTCTGTTGATGTGTGTTGATTCTCTTTTTCTCTTCATAAGTTTGGCTAGAGGCTTATCTATTTTGTTTATTTTCTCAAAGAACCAGCTCTTGGTTTCGTTGATTTTTGCTATTGTTTTATTCTTCTCAATTTTGTTTATTTCTTCTCTGATCTTTATTATGTCCCTCCTTCTGCTGACTTTAGGCCTCATTTGTTCTTCTTTTTCCAGTTTTGATAATTGTGATGTTAGACTATTCATTTGGGATTGTTCTTCCTTCTTCAAGTGTGCCTGGATTGCTATATACTTTCCTCTTAAGACTGCTTTCGCTGCATCCCACAGAAGTTGGGGCTTAGTGTTGTTGTTGTCATTTGTTTCTATATATTCCTTGATCTCTATTTTGATTTGTTCATTGATCCATTGATTATTTAGTAGCATGTTGTTAAGCCTCCATGTGTTTGTGAGCCTTTTTGTTTTNTGTTGGGTGCATATATATTTATAATGGTTATATCCTCTTGTTGGACTGATCCCTTTATCATTATGTAATGTCCTTCTTTATCTTTTGTTACTTTCTTTATTTTGAAGTCTGTTTTGTCTGATACCAGAATTGCAACACCTGCTTTCTTCTCTCTGTTGTTTGCATGAAATATCTTTTTCCAGCCCTTGACTTTAAGTCTGTGCATGTCTTTGGGTTTGAGGTGAGTCTCTTGTAAGTAGCATATGGATGGATCTTGCTTTTTTATCCATTCTATTACTCTGTCTGTGTCTTTTGATTGGTGCATTCAGTCCATTTACATTTAGGTGATTATTGAAAGATATGTGCTTGTTGCCATTGCAGGCTTTTGATTTGTGGTTACCAAAGGTTCAAGGTTAGCTTCTTTAGTATCTTCCTGTCTAACTTAACTCGCTTATTGAGCTATTATGAACACTGTCTGGTGATTCTTTATTTCTCTCCCTTCTTATTCCTCCTCCTCCATTCTTTATATGTTGGTTGTTGTATTCTGTGCTCTTTTGTGTTTCCTTTGACTGCTTTTGTGGGTATTTGATTTTATTTTTTGCCTTTAGTTAGTATTTGGTTGGTCTTCTTTCTTTGCTGTGATTTTATTTTCTCTGGTGACATCTATTTAGTCTTAGGAGTGCTCCCATCTAGAGCAGTCAGTCTAAAATACCCTGTAGAGGTGGTTTGTGCGAGGGAAATTCCCTCAACTTTTGCTTGTCTGGGAATTGTTTAATCCCTCCTTCATATTTAAATGATAATTGTGCTGGATACAGCATTCTTGGTTCAAGGCCTTTCTGTTTCATTGCATCAAATATATCATGCCATTCTCTTCTGGTTTCTGTTGCGAAGTGTGATGATAGTCTGATGGGTTTTCCTTTGTAGGTGACCTTTTTCCTCTCTCTAGCTGCCTTTAAAACTCTGTACTTGCCCTTGATCTTTCCCATTTTAATTATTATGTGTCTTGGTGTTGTCTTCCTTGGGTCCCGTCTGTTGGGAGTTCTGTGTACTTCCGTGGTGTGATCGATTATTTCCTCCCCCAGTTTGGGGAAATTTTTAGCAATTATTTCTTCAAATACACTTTGTATCCGTTTTTCTTTCTCTTCTTCTTCTGGTACCCCTATAATGTGGATATTGTTCCTTTTGGATTGGTCACACCGTTCTCTTAGTATTGTTTCATTCCTGGAGATACTTTTATCTCTTTCTGCGTCAGCTTCTCTGTGTTCATTTTCTCTGATTTCTATTCCATTAATGGCCTTTTGCACCTTATCTGGTGTGCTCTTAAGACCTTCCAGAGATTGTTTCATTTCTATAGTCTCCTTCCAGACTTTATCCCTTAGCTCTTGCGTATTTCTCTGAAGATCCATCAGCATGGTTATGACCTTTATTTTGAATTCTTTTTCAGGAAGAGTGGTTAGGTCTATCTCTTTCTCAGGGGTTGGCTCTGTGATTTGGTCTAGATCAGATCATTCTGCCTTTTCATGGCGATAGAGGTAATTGTGGGCAGCTGGTGCGTGTGTCGGCTGGGAGAATGTCCCTTCTTGCTAGTTGTGGCCTTCCTCTCCTAGGAGAACAGCGACCCCTAGTGGCTTGTGCTGGGAAGCTGCACACAGAGGGGGTGTTTGATTCATGCCTGGCTGCTGTGGAAGAAGCTTTGCCTGGTTACTGTGGGCGTGGCGGCCGCTGCCGCAGTGGCGGAGTCGCGCTGGAGGGGGAACATGCGGAAACCATGAGGGGCATCCGAGCTGTGCTGCTGCCCAGGGGGTTGGGGCACCCGGAGTTTTCCAGGTTCCCAGCTGCTGAGCTGGTTGTGCTGGGACACCTCTGTCCACCTGTGGGGTCCCTGTCCCTTTAAGACTTTCAAAGGACACTCACTTTTCTTTGTCCCAGGGGCGCTGGCTGCGGGGACCTGCTCACAGGTCTTACTGTCCTATTTCCGTAGTATACAGCACCCCACTCACTGTGTGTCTGCTCTCTGGTGTGGATAGCTAGGGCTGGGTATTTCAGTCCTGGGCTCCCTTTCCCTCCCCACTCTGACTCCTCTTCTCCTGCTGGGAGCTGGGGTGAGGGGTGCTCGGGTCCTGCTGGGCTGCGGCTTGTATCTTAACCCCCTTCGTGAGGTGCTGGGTTCTCGCAGGTGTAGATGTAGTCTGGCTGTTGTCATGTGTCTTCTGGTCTCTCTTTTCGGAATAGTTGTATTTGTTGTATTTTCAAAAATATATATGTTTTTGGGAGGAGATTTCCGTTGCTCTACTCACGCCGCCATCTTGGCTCTGTGTAGTACTTTGATTCTTGAATGATGTTTTAAATTGTAGTTAAGGCAAATACCTTAATTGAAGCTTCCAGAGAGATGCTCAAGGTTATTTCCTCCCACCTCTTCACACACAGTTCAAACAGGTGCCCCATTGAAAGAGAGAAGGAGGTGGGGATGACTACAGTGCAGGAGGAGATGATGACCTCCAAGGTTGGGCTGAGAGCAGAGGATGGGGGCAGCTGGCCTTAACCTCGAATCACAGCAAAAGCAAACTGCACATGAAAACAAAGGGGCTCAACCCATATTTTTGTAACAAGAATAAAATATGAGGGTGTGATGATCTGTAAGGCTACACCAACAGGCCCTTGTTTCTTTCTCACCTCATCTACTGCTTCTAACTTTCATTTACTTAGTTAGTGACACTGGCTCCCCTTGTGATTCTCAGAAATGCCATGGTTTTTCTTAGCTGTGAAGTTATCTCCTTGTTGCCTTCCTAATCCTTCCTTTAACTCATGTGGCTGAAATGTCATTCAGAGTGTGAGAAGCCATTCTTAATCACCCAATCCAAAGTAGCTATTTGAATTCTCTACCTAATGCTGGTTATTGTCTGGTATCTTTCCGGTTGATTTGTTTACTTATATTTTCTATTCCTTATAATGTAAGAAGTATGAGTGCCAGGGACCTTGTGGTGCCTGGCATAGAAGAGGTAATCATTAAATTCTGGCTGATTGTATGGTGGAATTTCTTGTTTATGGCAAAGCTGCTTCGTAATCTTTGCCTTCATAAAGGCCTTCCACTTGGGATTTTTATGTAGACAGATCTGTTTTCTTTCTCTTAACAGAATTGTGAGAAACTGGGTGAGCTGCTGTTATGTGAGGCTCAATGTTGTGGGGCTTTCCACCTGGAGTGCCTTGGATTAACTGAGATGCCCAGAGGAAAATTTATCTGCAATGAATGTCACACAGGTAAAGTAGATAGAGAAGGGTCTTTTTCCAAAGAAGGTTTGAGTTTTTCAAGTTCTTTTGTGGTGGTGGGGGTGGAATTTTACTGGAGACACTACTCTGTGGCAATACTGAGCGGTTGGTATAGACACAGAGATAGGTAGGTGCTGTATGGTCTTTGCCCTCAGAAGGCACAGCAACTGCACAGTGAATGAATAGCACAATGTAGTGCAAAAGTGCTATAGTGGAGATACATTCAAGTGCTTTGTGAACAAAGATGAGCTGATGCCACAGAGGAAGAGTTTGGCTTTAAGAGAGAAATATAAATTATGTAGGGAGGGAAAGGACAGAAGGTCCAGTAATGAAAGCATGAAATATTTGGGAAATAGGAAGTATAAGTCACTGTGTTGAGAGCTTAAGAAATTTTAGGGAAGAGGCACTGGTAGTAATGAGGAGGGCTCTGGATTACTGGTAATGTTTTTATATGTCACTGAGTGGTGATTATATATGCACGTTTATTTCATGACTGCTTAGGAACTGTATACTTAGGATGTGTGGATAGTTCTTAGTGTACTTTTCTGTGTTTATATCATATGTCAATAAACATTTACCAAAAGGAGATCTGGGAGTGTTGTAATATGTAATTTGGTCCAAAAATAGGAATGATTAGACTAGCTGGACTTCTTCTGTAAAGCACCTTACGATTGTGCTACGGAGATTATTCTGTTTTCGGCATTCTGTGTGCATGCTACAGCATTTCAATAGTGAAGAAATGGGGCTGAAGGTAGAGATCTTATACTCTTAAGTCATTAAAACCATTGGTATGGATGATGCTGCCGAATAGGAAGCATCTGTGGAATGAGAAGAGGGCTAATGACAGTACCTGATTATACCCTCCTTAAAAGGGACTGCTGGAAGGGTGAGGAAGAGCTAGTCAATGAGTTAAGGCCAGGGGAGTAGGATGTCATTACCAGAGGCAGATACAGCAAAGAGACCAAGGAGATTCTATAGTGAAAAGAGGTTGTTACATTTGGTAGTAAGAAAATACTTGACTTATTTCCAGAAGGTGCCACACTAACCAAGTTGAAGGGTGAATGAATACCAGTATACACTATTTCTTACAGAAGATTGATTTCAACAGAAAGAGGGCAGTAATTGAAGGGAGGAGGACGTCATAAGGTCAAGAGGAAGAACATCTTGAGTGTTTTGAATGATGAAAGTCAAGAACTGTGTAGGGAAATAAATTTCCACAGCAGGAGAGGGAATAGTGGAGTACAGTCACATAGAGGATAAAGCTGAAGAGATAAATTAAAAAATGGAATATACCATGGAGTTGTGATCTAGAAGAAGGAAGCTGAAAGTCTTTTCTTGGCTTGGTGAGAATGATGGGAAAAGGCACTTTCTAATTGGAAAGGAAGATTGTAGATTTAGAGTAGCCCCTTTGGGAAATGAGAGAGAGAATTAACTTATGTCTGTAAATAGATGGCTGTATCAGATTGAGTTATTTCATCTTTCTGCTGCCTCTTTCAGCAGTGTAGAGGAAAAAGCTGAAAAAACAAGATACTTTACCTTCTACACAGTTGAGCTTTTGGTTATTAAGGGGAGTAATACTATTCCCCCATAAATGAAATTTAAACAAAATGTTTTAGGTATGTGCTTATGTATTTCTCTTATCCTAATCTTAGAAAGATGTTGCCTTTTTGCCAATGGTCTAGTTTTACTAGTCTTATTTTTATTATAATATAATACTCTCTGAGTAGGTTACAACAGCAAAGCTAAAAAATCAAATTTATAGAAATAACTTACCTACTAGAAAATGTGCCCATTTTTCTGTTTTTTGTTGTTACACATTAGATTTATCTTTTTTGGAGTTTTATATAAGTGAAATCAACTTGTATGTAATTCTATGTGTCTAGCCCGGCATAATGTTTTTGGGCTCATTTATATTGATAATGTGTATTAGTAATTCATTCTCTTTCTTAAAACAGCTTTATTGAGGTACATTTGAGTTGTTCTCAGGTTTGGATATTATAAATAAAGCTGCTCTGAATATTCAAGTCTTTGTATGGATAGATTGTCTTTTCTCTTGTGTTAATAATACCTAAGAGTAGAATGGCTGCATCATATGTAGGTATATGTTTAACATTTTAAGAAACATCTAAATTATTTTAGAGTATTTGTACTCTTCATTCCCATCAACAATGTTGTGATAGTTTCAGGTCTTCTGGATCTTCAACAACACTTGGTATTGTCAGTCTTTTCACTTTCAGCCATTGACAGATGGGTAGTGGTATCTCATTGTAGTTTTACTGTGTCTTTCCCTAATGCCAAATGATAATGTGCATCCTCTTCTGTGCTTTTATTGCCGTCTTCTGATCAAGTATGTTAAGATCTTTTTTTTTTTCAAGTTGATGTGTTTATATCCTTACTGCTGAGTTTTAAGAGTTTAGATAGATGAAATATATATGTATATATAAATATATACAGTTTTTCTGGATACAAGTTCTTTATAAGATTATTCTTTTCAAATTATTCTACCAATCTATGGCTTGTTTTTTTCACTTTTTAAGATGGTCTCTTTTGAAGAGCAGAAGTTTTTATTTTGAAGTCCCATTATCAGTTCATTCTTTCTATGGACTTTTCTTTGGTGTCATAAGACATTTTGCTTATCCTGTTGTCAAAGATTTTCTTAGTTTTCTTCTGAAAACATTATAGTTTTAGTTTCACACTTAGGTCTGTGATCTTTTTTGAATTAATTTTGTATAAGACATGAGGTAAAGAGAGTTTATTTTTGAGAATAGAAAATTTTACATAGTTGTTAGTAAAGATGAATGGAGTAAAAATAAGGAATAGAGTTATGTCTTACTTCTTGTGGCTCATCCTGTTTTCCTACAATAGGGCAACCACACCATAATTCAGGTTATTCTAGTTTAATATTGGCTGCCATTTACTCAGCATTAGGTGGTAGTTTACTTCTTTCCAAATACATAAAATTTTTTCCTGAAGTCATTACTAGCTGGGTAATCTCACTGTTTATAGATGAGGTGGATTGTTTTAATGAGTTCCTACTGTTTCCAGCAAGTGCCTGAAGCAGGATTCATGTTCATGTCCGTCTGTCTTTCGAGCCTGGGCTCTCTCTCTTACATTGCATTGTATTCTCAGAGAGAGCTCTCTCTGTGTGTGTGTGTGTGTGTGTGTGTGTGTGTGTTTTCTTTTCTTAACCTTTTTATTACAGAAATCCTCAGACATAATACAAAAGTAGAGATAATAGTGTAAAGAATCTCCATGTATTCATCACTTAGCTTGAGTGGTTATCAACTTTCTGACTCATTTTACCCATATATTTCAAAAGGTCTTTCTAACATTTACAACTTAAAAGTCCAACATGTAGAAGAATTATACAGTAACTCCTATACATAATCTGCTACCCAGTCCCATTTTCAAATTTCCTTACTTGTCTCCAAGATGTCTTTTCAGAGTGTTCTGAATCAAGATCCAAATAACGTCCATGTATTATTATATTTTTTTATATGTCTCTTAAATTTCTCTTAATTTACAATGGTATTACTCCCTTCACCCTGTTCTTTAATGTTTGTTGAGACAGTGGGCATTTGTCCTGCTAAATTTTCACATTGTAAATTTGGTTGATTGCATCCTTGAGATGTCCCTTTAACCTTTGCTCTATCCTTCAAATTTCCTGGAGACTTTTAGTTAGCTCTAGAAGCTGGATTAATTTCAGGTCAGTTTTCTTTTGGCAAGATGCTTTGTAGATACTGTGTACTCCCTATTGAGTCATGTCCCCAAACATGTACTGTTAATGTTTTCCACTTAATAGTGATCTTAAGATTGTAGAGTGGGTTCATGTCGGCCTGGTCAGTCTATTATAAAGGTTCCTTACTGCGATTAATATTTCTTGTTATAAATCACAATATTTGGATTTTGTCCAGTTTCTGGTGCTAAGCTCCTTTGAAATCCCTTGGAGTTTTTTAAAGTGAGCAGAGTGATAAAGATGTCTTTGTATATTTTTTTGTTATGTTAATGAGGCAACTTTTGGACACACCTAAGGATGGTTGCTGCTCTCCAGGAGTACTAGCCCTGTGATTAGAGGGTCGGAACTTTCAGTCTCGCCTCCCTCCCCCACAACCCGCTCCCTGCCCCATGGCTTCTGGGGAAGAAAGAGGGGTTGAACTTGAATGAATCTCTAGGGACCAGTCATTTTATCAACCATTCCTGTGTAATGAAGCCAAAGGATTCAGGTTCCGGAAGCTTCTGGGTTGGTGACAGGAGAATCAGAGAGAGTGGCATGCTTGGAGAGGTCGTGGAAGTTCTGTGCCCTTCCCCCATACTTTGCCCTACACATCTCTTCAGTCTGGCTGTTTATGAGTTTCATCCTTTTCTAATAAACTGGTGATGTAGTAAGTAAAAAGTTTCTCTGAATTCTGTGAGCCACTCCAGCAAATTTATTGAAACCAAGAAGGGGGTTGTTGGAACTTCTGATTTATATAGCCAGTTGGTCAGAAGTGCAGGTAATAACTGGACTTATGACTAGCACCTGAAGTTGGTGGGGGTTAGGTGGACAATCTTTTCGGCCTGAGACCATACCATTTGGTACCTGATGTTATCTTTGGATAGTTTACTTGTCAAAAGGACAACTAGCTGGTGTTGGGGAACCCCTTGCCCCAATGTTGGAATTTAATACAGAATAGTGTACTCACTAACTTTTCACCTTATAGTTTAGCATTGGGGGTGAATTCTTGAATTGATATTAATTTGTAACCTTTTTTGTCCTTTCCAGGAATCCATACCTGTTTTGTATGTAAGCAGAGCGGGGAAGATGTTAAAAGGTGCCTTCTGCCCTTGTGCGGAAAGTTTTACCATGAAGAGTGTGTCCAGAAATACCCACCCACTGTCATGCAGAACAAGGGCTTCCGGTGCTCCCTACACATCTGTATAACCTGCCATGCTGCTAATCCGGCCAGTGTTTCTGCATCTAAAGGTATGGATTTCTCATGTGGACCAAATTAATTGTAGAGCCTCAGTTTCATTGGCAGTGGATATTTCTAAATGAATTCTAATAAGTCTCTTCATGGCCTCTCTAGCTTTTGTCAGAGTACCAGCATTTTATGTGAGAGAGAGAAGAGAGTAATATACTAGTTTAGGAATATGATGGTATTCCATGGAGCCTGGGCATTATGTGGTAGTTTTAAATATTTGGATTTCATCTGAGATTTAGTTTGAAAAAGTGTTCTGCTGCATATCTTCCTCCCCTTATGAGACCAGTGTATTCTTTTCCTTTGGCTCCTTTTTACCTATGGTTGTCAGATGTGGTAACATTCAGACAAGCATATAGAGCAGAATTGAGGTTTTTGTTTTGTGTTTATTAATTTTTTTAAATGGAAATTCCTGTCCTGAAAGTGTTTTCTGCTGAAGTTAGGTTGAGAGCTGAGGTTTCCTAAACTGTCTGTGGGTGTAGGTAGTCTCAAGTTTTAGAAAATCTGTTTCCTTGGGAAAATAATAATTTATTTTGGTTCAGTAATAACAGGTCTCCAGTGATTTTCCTTAAAGTCAAATACTGTGTCTCCACTGTTAAATGCTTGTGTACCCAGAGCCCCTACTTCTCCTATAGGGGAATTGAGCAGGAAAAATTTAGTAGTGTTGACACCTCTTTTAATTAGACTAGTAATAATATTTGAAAGATATTTCCTGGCCCTGTAGATCTCATCAGTCTTAAGTATAGTAATTTAACTTACTTGATCAAAATTGCAGCATAACCATCACCTACCTTCCCTTTTTCTATTGCTATTGTAGATTTAGGTGGTTTGGTGATGGTTTTTAGTTGGTGGAGTGTGTTAGAGGACATATTTCATCTGAAAGGCTTTGAGAATCACAGTACTGGGCACCAAAAGCAAGCGATAAGTTCCCTGTCGCTGGCCTTTTGTTCTGATTGTGCACACACTGGCTTTCTCACCCTTTCCCTGTTTAGTTTGAAGCTAAATCCCGGTTTCATAGGAGTCTGAGCATTAGTTTGAGTAGGGCTTCCCTTGGTGAGGTAGGCTCACTTAATAGTTGTGGGATCTGAGCTTCCTAGTGGCAGCTTATCACATAGTTCCCATCTGAGCTATTCATAGTGAATTGAGTGTTTAAGATCCCTTGTCCAATAGTGTATACTTCTATATGTGACATTTTCTCACCGTTAGTAAATAGACTTGAATAACTCACATTATTTTTATATTTAATCTCTGTTTTTCTTTTGTTCCTCCCTGGTTTTCCTGCTTCTTGTATTTTTAGGTCGTCTGATGCGCTGTGTCCGCTGCCCTGTGGCATACCATGCTAATGATTTTTGCCTGGCTGCTGGGTCAAAGATTCTTGCATCTAATAGTATCATTTGCCCTAATCACTTTACACCCAGGAGGGGCTGCCGAAATCATGAGCATGTTAATGTTAGCTGGTGTTTTGTATGCTCAGAAGGTAAGACATGACTTCTTGATGTATGAATAGTCTATAAAGAGATGAATATTTTTATTGCAAAAAAAAATGGTTTTCCCATTGCCAACAAGGAGAAATATTAGGAAGTGATATCCTGAATTAATAATAATGTGGTATAACTTGTAGACTTGGTTTTTGTTCTCTAATAGGGAGAGGCTTTATTTTTTATAGTTTGAATGCCTTGATTTTTATTAAAATAATAAACAATTAAAGCAATAAAGAAAAAGAAAAGAGAAAGGAAACAGAAGCACCTTTGGAAAATGGGTGAATGTGGTCAGATGGTAGAAACTTTCAGTTATAAGGTGAGTAGGTTTGGGGGATATAATGTACAACATAGTGACTGTAGTTAACAATACTGTATTATATATTTGAAAGTTGCCAAGAGAATAAATTTTAACAGTTCTCACCACCAAAATAATTGCAACTATGTAAAGAGTTCGGGTAACTAACTTTATTGTGGTAACCATTTTACAACATATGCATATATCAAGTTATTATGTTGTATACTTTAAACTTACACAATGTTATAATGTCAATTATATCTCAGTAAAGTTGGGGAGAAAAGAAAAAAACTACAGGTAAAAAAATAAAACAAGGAAAATAAAACCCAAATCATCCCAAGTCCCATGATTAGAAAAAAACCATTGCTTAATGTTAAGTGATATTAATATAGACATCTGTGTGTATCTGTGCTTAAAAGCAGATAGAAGTAGTAGATACCTGAATATAAATAATTACAGAAGATGATATATAATTGTGTTCTTTCTTAAGTAAATTTTTATGAATTTAAAGGGAAGAAACAAAGGGAAAGTGAAGACATTTATGAACTTCTGTAAATATTTCCTCAATGTAAGGGTTGTTAGTACCTGAAATGTCTTCTAAAGTGGAGGAAAAATTAATTTTATATCTTTATATCTTTTTTCCAATTTTATTAAAACATACTTCTCCTTTAGAAGAGAGCCAGTTTATTATTATTAGACATTTTCTTTTCTTTCCTTTGGCTTCCTCACAGCCTGATATTTGCTGCTTGTGTTAAAGTGAGGATTTAATACTTACTGCTCATCTATTTACTGTAGTGCTTGCTTCTATTCTTCATTTTCTTGTGCTTCTAAGAAGATACTTGTAACAGGACAATTTAAGGAAAAGATAGACCTACTGACTGGGATTTGTACCAGGACATAGTTTCTATCTTCAAACTGTGGTGTTTATAATATAGAGTAAATTTTAAAAATACTAAGTGTGGTTATATGCGTGGAACTTTGATGTGGTTAGGGCTTTTTTAATGCACAAAGAGGACATTCTTTTCTTGGGCTTGTAATACCTGTTGCTTATAAAACTGGTGAACCCTGCTGCCTATTTATCATACCACCTTTGTTCTATTTAGAAGAAAGTTAAAGACAGTTTTGGTATTTAATAGCATTTAAATATAAGTTTATATAATTCTACTCTTAGAATTAAAACAAATGCCTCTAGGAGGCTGAAGTGCAGGCTCCAAGATTTTTCCACATTTCTTGAATATGGGAAGATGAAACAATTTTAGCATTAGGCTGTTTCTAATTCCCGAGTGGGATGAGATGAGTGAGGTGGTTTCACAGTGTGATCCATGAAATCCTGGGAAGATGGGAGGGCCCAAAAACGCTTTCATAACTCTTTTCATAGTAATACCAAGATGTTACTTGCCTTTTTTACTTTGTTGGCATTTGCACTGATGGTTCAATACTAATGGTGGGTAAAATCGCTGGCAATCTACCACAGTCAAGGCAGTGGCTCTAAAAGCTGTGTAAGTAAAAGCAGTCACTATATTCTTTGTTATCATATACTTGGAGTCAAAACCATGGAAGTTTCACATGAGAATGTCCTTGAGAAATAAATGGTATTTATTAACTTTATTAAATCTTGACCCTAAGGGAAATATTGTTTTAATATTCTGTTTGATAAAGTGGGAAGTACATGTAAAGTGGTTACACTGTATACGGATGGTTATATCAAAGAGTTCATGCAGTTGAATTGCATCTGAACTAGCTGCCTTATTCGTAGAATACTATTTTTAGTTAAGAATTAGTGACAAACTGTGGCTTTTCATACTGGGGTATTTGTCAGTTATGTTCTTAACAGTGGGTAAAAATGAGCCTATCAGTTCAAGGAAATCAACTGACAGAAATTGTTGCCAGTGATCAAACTTGAACTTTTAAGTGAAAATTAGAATTTTGAGAAACTATTATGTACCACCCTAAAGCTTAACAGCTTCCTAGTATTAACTGATGAAATCATGGTGGTATTAATAACTGTGACATTTTAATGTTACATAATAGATCAACATTTGGAAGATCTACCTGACTCAGTAAACCAGTATTTTCCATATGTATGTTAAAACTGTGTATATATGAAAGATCTATTCAAAGTACAAGGTAGATAAATGAATTTTAATGTAATAGTACTAAAAGTTGACTGATATGGTTTCAGATTCAACATTGCAACTTAAGTTTACCTTGTGGAGTTTTATTGTATGTTATCAAAAAAGAAATGTGTAGAGTTATTGAACAAGTTATTAAAAGACTCCTTTTTCATATACAAAATGGGGTGTGTCCATAACAACTAAATATTATTCAGCCATGAACAGGAATGAAATACTGATACATGTTACAACTTGGATGAAACTTGAAAATATTATGTTACATAATATTAACATAGGCCAGACACAAAAGATCACATCTTATTATGAGTCCCTTAAAATGAAATGTTCAAAATAGGGAGATCCATAGAGACAGAAAATAGATTAGTGTTGGGGGAAGTGATTGCAAGTGGGTACAGGTTTTCCTTTGGGGATGATAAAAATGTTCTAAAATTGATTGTGGTAGTGGGTGCACAACTATGTGAATATACTAAAAACCATTGAATTGTATAATCAAATGGGTGAATTGTACAATATGTGAATTACATTTCAACAAAATTATTAAAAATAAACCATATAGATGATGTCTGGCTAAAGAAAACTCCTTTTTCCAGCTATCTGTAAGAGCTCAGATTTTCTTCATGTACGTTTACCAAACAACATTACAACAAGCGACGTTAAAAGTATTCGCAAAATTTAGAACACTGAGTTTACTAAAAAGTCATTTTTCATAACAATGTTAATTATGTTTAACAGATGTATTATTATTTAAAATGAATGGATACGTATTTTTTAAATGCTTAGATTTTTTTGGACTTTTTTTTTGGTATCATTAACATTTTCATGAAGAACATTATGTTTACTAGGCTCCCCACTTCACCAAGTCCCCCCCACATATGCCTTCACAGTCACTGTCCATCAGTGTAGTAAGATGCTGTAAAATCACTTGTCTTCTCTGTGTTGTAGAGCCTGCCCCGTACCCCCCCTCCATATTATATACACTAATCGTAATGCCCCCTTTTTTCTTTCCCTGCCCTTATCCCTCCCTTCCCACTCATCCTCCCAGTCCCTTTCCCTTTGATAACTATTAGTCCATTCTTGGGTTCTGTGGTTCTGCTGCTGTTTTGTTCCTTCAGTTTTCCTTTGTTCTTATACTCCACAAATGAGTGAAATCATTTGGTATCTGTCTTTCTCTGCCTGACTTATTTCACTGAGGATAATACCCTCTAGCTCCATCCACGTTGTTGCAAATGGTAGGATCTGCTTTTTTCTTATGGCTGACTAATATTCCATTGTGTATACGTACCACATCTTCTTTATCCACTCATCTACTGATGGACATATAGGTTGCTTCTATATCTTGGCTATTGTAAATAGTGCAGTGATAAACATAGGAGTGCATCTCTCTTTTTCAAACTGGGCTTCTGCATTCTTAGGGTAAATTCCTAGAAGTGGAATTCCTGGGTCAAATGGTATTTCTATTTTGAGCATTCTGAGGAACCTCCATACTGCTTTCCACAATGGTTGAACTAATTTACATTCCCACCAGCAGTATAGGAGGGTTCCCCTTTCTCCACAACCTCGCCAACATTTGTTGTTGTTTGTCTTTTCGATGATGGTGATCCTTACTGTTGTGAGGTGATATCTCATTGTGGTTTTAATTTGCATTTCTCTGATGA